AAGAGGATGGCGTTGTACAACCTCTTAGACGCTGACAGCTTGAATACAATCATTTCTCCATCAAATGTTCTCTACAATGTTGTTGAACAATAAACTGGGATTATAATTCACTTAATTTGAATATTACTAGTTACTTATTTGTTTGAATTTTGTTGTTTTCTTGTTTTCAGAATCTTTTATACTTAAGCTAAAGAGTACGATATCCATCATTTACTGCTCCGTTGGCCTAGTGGTTGGTGCGTCTGCATCGGATGCTGGAGGTCGCGGGTTTGAACCACGGCCGAGTCATGCCAAAGACTTATAACTATTGTACTAACAGCTGCCTCACTTGGCGCTCAGCATTAAGAGGTCAGTGTTAAAACTGGTCGGCTTTTTTCAGGATAATGTGATTGGGTCTGATGTGATTCTCTATGTCTGTGACATGACGTCTCAGTACTAGACATCAGTATAAACATATACAATGTTAGCATCGTAGCGATATGACTAAAAAAAATTGTTCAAGCTACGTTTAAAAATCCAAACCACACACACACACACACACACACACACACACACACACACACACACACACACACACACACACACACACACACGATATCTATTGTCAGCATGAGAATGAAAAAAAACCAACAAATATTATGCACCTTATTCTACATAATCACTTTTAATAGATTTCGGCACATTAGTTTTAGACAGAAAACTATGTCATTGTGAGACCATGATGTCTCTAACAAATTTTGTATGTTACTAAAAGAAAACTAATCATAAATATCATCAGTATTTAAAATTGGTTGTGTTATTTACATTTGAGAATATTGTTGCAGTCATGGTTACCATAAAATTAGAATTCTGCATATTTGTTTTTTGTTTTTCATAATGCAAATATACTTTTAGATGATAAACTGACATTGACTGGCAGTTACGCTTAACGTCATATTGTAAAGAGACACAGAAGTATACAGGGTTTTGCAAAGAACAGTTTAATTAAATGAATGTATGATTACTTTATTTTATTTTTTAGTATATAATATAAAATAAAAATATGTCACTTAACGATTTTTTATTTTTGTAAGAAAGGATTGAAAGAATTATACCTGCACTACGGCAAGTCGAAACAATACATTTCTCATAAATGCATTTTCTACCGATGCCTGTAACATGAAATAATCCAAACTTGTTTTTTTTGTTACCAATTATTTATTTAATTTTGTATTTGTATTTCGTAATCTTAATGGGTGAGCACAGTTCAGCCCATTTTCAGCACGCTTTCTTTGAAAAGAACGAGCAAAAACACGAACTGGCAATTAAGTTAATTGCCGGACTAATTTTTCCCGGGTGAGACATCAAAGAAGTCGTATTTTATTGTTCTCCAGCCGATTTTGATTGATTGCTTATATAATCTTTAGTAGCGCGTGTACTACGACGTCATACGCCTTTAGTTGTTCTCTCTTTGTAGGACACGACCTATTAGCCTGTCCTAACACGAACATCACGTGAGATCGTACAACACAAATATTATATAATTATAACCAATACTGGACAATAATGATTTCTGGCAAATATCATTATTGATAATTAAACTAAAAAAATACAGCCAGGGTTGTGGAGTATTTTAACACTAGAATAGGAAGGTGTATAAACCCTAGAATCAAAATTTAAAAAAATAGAAATTCAATAAAGTACCACAAACAACAACTATACGATGAGCGAAACACGAATATATAAAATCCATTGACTTTTGGCACTAGAGGGTTCCTCAACTGAAGTTTATCTGAGATGGACAACACCAATAAAAGGGACATCGGCCTTATACTTATTTATCCTCAAAAAATAGAAAGTGGAAAAAAAGGTTTTAAAATTTTTTAAATCTTATTCATAATTTCACATATGAAACACCAATATCAAAGACAATAAAAGCTAATAACGATTGACTTATCTGTTTTGAGGAATATAACACCCCAACCTAAAATTTAATGGTCAATACGTTAAAGGAATGAATGTGTGTATGTTAATTGTTGCATAAGCTGTTGTTGTTGTTGTTGTTGTTGTTGTTGTTGTTGTTGTAGGGCTTAACACCATTTTTCAGCACACGATAAGCTATACATGGCGGCAAGTATTAAAAGTTGAGGAAGAACCCTGGAAAACTCCGGAAAGAACTACCGACCCAAGAGAAGCTACTGGCAAGCTTTCACATCTATCTACATTGGTCGAATCCTAAATTCTAACCAACGCAGACAGAGATGAGATGGCAGCTTTAGGCCACTTGGCCACTCGGGGTCCCGTCTTATATAAGATTTAATCTAAACAATGCAAGCAAAGTGAGACGATTAAACTTCAAAGGAAGTTGACCCCCGGTGAAAGACATTGTGCTGATATCATAGAGTTTGTTCAAAAAAAAGTAGGAAATGTTGACATTGAAGGCTACAATTTACTAGATACTATAGCCATGCCAATCTATGGGAGGAATCAAACGATTTGTATCAGAGTATGAGAGACAAAAGAAAAAGCATACACTGCATTTAGTCAACAAAGAGAAACTGCTTAGTGGACTCGAACAATTACGTACATTTCGAAAAGAAAACAACGGCTCTCATGGAAACGGTTGGATGATTCTCATTCTTACAGATGAATACTTAGCACATTAACATACCTTACTAATCAACTAAAGAGATACATTATTTAATCCGAAATTTATCCAAAAGTTATATTTGACCCGAACATTTACAAGAATTTACCATCTTGTCATCACGCTGGCATTCGTTACGTTTGTGAAACAAATGTAATTAAAAGGATTTTAAAATATGTGATATTCAGAATTTCATTTCTTTGTACAGCATTAATTCATGAAAATAGTTTGTTATATCATTTATAACAATACAATCCATGTTCAGATTCAGGAGGAAACTGAAAGCTTCTTCAAAACTGTGTCCCCTGTTACAAATGAAGTTTTAACAAGCAATAATTGTCTACTGATTTAAAGTAGATACATTTTAAGACAAATATAAAAAACAGTTGATCGTTTATTTATATGATATGTAATTATTTCAAAGATTATATTATGGTAAGCAAAAATGGATACACTTCTGTGGCTGTGACTTTTGTGTTAGCTTGTAAAAAGTTTTGATAATTTTCTCAACATTTGCACTGTAATAAATATTTGCGTATTAATTATCAGATTAACTTTGGATTACAGGATAAAATGTAAGTGGGGTCAGTGACGTGACGATAAGTTGTATAAGTTTTGCATTCTAACAGAAATTGTTCAGCTGTTTATATTTGTCCGCACGTGCAATAACTATTGTTAGAAACATGATTTAGGAATAAATCATTATTAATGCTATGGTATAGGAATAAATCATTATTAATGCTACCGAATTTGGTTTTCAAACGTGTATGCTGAACTTGATTCACACGATCACCAACAAAATGATATATAATTTTTTTTTTTTTTTTTTATTCGATTCAGGAGAGTTTTAACATTTTGAAGGGATTGGTTACTGATTATTTGTAATAGCACCGTCTTCCTCAGTTAAATTATGGAAGGCAGAAAAGATTTTTGATAAAGTGGCGTTTGGCAGAAATCAAGTCAAATTATATTAGATGATCGAGTAGTGTAAGTATCATTGTTAACATCAAGAGGCTGAATTATATTTTGTAAGTAACTTGGAGCAAAATCATGGTTCATTTTGAAAAGTTTAATTAATTTGTACTTATATCATCGGTACTTCAGGCTACCCTAGTCGATTTCCTTAAATGTGTGCTTATAGCATCGGTATTTCAGGCCATCCCAGTCGGTTTCCTCATATAATAATGAACGATTGACAATCTTGGTAGCAAATGTCGCTATTTTCATAACTTCCAAAATATATTTATTTCTCTGATTCTGTTTATTGCAAATTACAATTATCTCAGATCAGCATGGTTAAACATAGGAAGTATGAAAGATACATGCGTTCTTTCCAAGGACAAGAACATCAGTTTTGTGTAATTTAATGATACATCTATTATAACGTAAACTTTTATTGGCACTTCAAAGCCACCTTTGTGCCGAGGTGCTATACAATACGCCTACACATCTAAACTTCAAAATCTTGCAGTTTTCAGTTATTAGGACTGAAAAAGAAAAAAATTAAGAGAAAACGCAAATCTTGCAATGTGCCGAGCTGCTGCTGGTGAAGAGGGTGGGTAGGGTACAAACCTGCTGGGGGACTGGTTTGCGTTACTTATAGACTAAAATTTGCCTTTTAAAACAGGAAAAAGAAACAAAAATACCTTTAACAAAAAACTATATTCCTAATGTGCTTGATATTAAGCCAACAACCCGCCGATAAATACAATCTTTTGTGACAAATACAACCCTTTTTGGAATAACAACAACAAAAACAACAAGAACAACAGCAAGAACAATACTACTACTACTACTACTACTACTACTACTACTACTACTACTACTACTACTACTACTACTACTACTAATAATAATAATAATAATAATAATAATAATAATAATAATAATAATAATAATAATAATAATAATAATAAATCAAATCAATATCATTCAGTTTGGAACAAGTTTACTAGGTATCTTCCGTGTATTCCTTGATGACTTAAACTGCCGAAATACCGGTACAGCGAAAATGTGCCGTTTTGCGCACTAAGAAAAATAATACCTAAACCGGTAGAGGCCTAATTGCAAGCGTCGAACTTACTAATGTCGAAACAAATCGACTAACACAAACAAATGACTACAGAATCGGCTTATTACAGTCTGTTGGTTACAAATGTGCATTATATATATATATATATATATATATATATATATATATATATATATATATATATATATATATATATATATATATATATATATATTATATATATATATATATATATATATATATATATATATATATATATATATATATATATATAACACTAGCCTCTTAATGCTGAGCGTCAAGAGAGGCAGCTGTTAGTACCATTTTTTTAAGTCTTTGGTATCACTCGACAGGGAATCGAATCCACGAACTCCCGCATCCGAGGCGGAATTTCTAACCACTAGGCCACCGGAGCGGTAAGTTTGCATGCATGCATGCATGCATACTTACATACATACATACATACATACATACATACATACATACATACATACATACATACATACATACATACATACATACATACATACATACATACATACATACATACATACATACATACATACATACATACAGACAGACAGACAGACATACAAACATACATACGTACATACATACATACATACATACATACATACATACATACATACATACATACATACATACATACATACATACATACATACATACATACATACATACATACATACATACATACATACATACATACCTACATACATACATACATACATACATACATACATACATACATACATACATACATACATACATACATACATACATACATACATACATACATACATACATACATACAAAAGTCAATGGATTTTATATATTCGTGTTTCGCTCATAGTATAGTTGTTGTTTGTGGTACTGTATTGAATTTCTATTTTTTTAAATTTTGATTCTAGGGTTTATACACCTTCCTATTCTAGTATTAAAATACTCCACAACCCTTGCAGTAATTTTTTAGTTTCTAACCCAAGTCCGCTCGTGCGTAGCAGACACGCTCGCACGACGACCTAGTAATTAATTCTCATATATATACGCACCATCATTCCAGATTCCTATAGCAGAAATCAAGGTATATAGGATTTTTTGTATTACAAATAATTATGAATATATACCAGACAGAACAGACAGTGCTATCCCTGGATTCTGTAGTAGAATCTTGATAATAGTGGGCAGAAATAATAGTTTAATACAAACAATACTATCATACAGGTTCTGTATGGTATATATTTATAATTATTTGTAATACAAAAGTCCTATATACCTTGATTTCTGTCATAGGAATCTGGAACGACTGTGTGTGTGTGTGTGTGTGTGTGTGTATATATATATATTTAATTTGTAGTAATTTAAATTGTGAATTATAAATGAATCTTGTATCTGATAATAAGCATTGCTCATGCGGTGAAATTTGATAATGCAAAACGTTGTCTTCTAGACAGTTCAAAATATCAAATCCTAGAGATAAAATTATATACAAACTCCCCATCTCTTACGATTTAAATGTTATAATTTGGCAACCCTATGTTAGCTGAAGAAAATAACACATTAGTATATTTAACTGTGCAAAATTTTATTAGGATGACCAAGAGATTTAAATTAATGACTGAACATACGACCATTTGAATCTCAATTATTGAGTTATAATTCTTTGGTATATTTTGAATGTGAGCTTATACAAATTTTCTTTATAACCTTTTGTACTGCCATCGATATCACTGACGTTATGTTTTATTTATTACTGTTGAGACAGTTGCAATAAGCTTATTCTTTCTACGGAATACTTCTGTGATTGGGAGGCGGTATTCATTAAAACCCTCCTCTTTTTATTCTGCGTCGCTGGCTAGGGAATGATCACTCGCGGTTTAATAGCCCAATGTGGACGGATAGATTGAACGTTACAGATAGCTGAGCGAAGTATTGAAAGAAAGAAATAACAATTATCTCCCGTTCAATAAAAAATATTTTTTTTTAATCAATTAACATATAATTAAAAGAAAAAGCAATTCCCATACAAATTACATATACTCAATTAGCATTTCCGAAATTCACGTTCCAATTTGACTAATTGTCAATGACAGAATTGAATTACTGTGTAAGAGTTTCAATTTTACGTGTTGACTTTCAGCACAATTTCCAATGCTTCGACAGCATCACCTGTCAGCTGTCTTGTCACGACTTGTTTCCCACGTTTAAACGCGTGCTCAGTCCTCTTCCGACTCTCGCTATTCTGATATCCCGTCGATGTATTTTTCCACTTTGACTCCTTGGGTTTTTTCAGTGTTCTTACTTCTCCTTCTCTCGATCGGAGTACAAAGTACGAAGCTGTCCCCTTAAATGTATAATTTGTCGCACGCTAAACAAATACCACTACACATCTACATATAAATATAAACTATATTTCTCGTGCTAATATTTGGGTGATTTACACTGCACAATTCTGACCTAACGTGATTATAACGAATACTCCACATATATTCTATATTTGCAGTATATTACCGTTAAGTTGATACAAATGACCTTAGCTTAAGTTCATTCCCCGCCCCACCCGAAGGCAAGTCACGTAAATTTCCACGTGCATTTACCGACAATTATGGCCGTATATGCCAACAACAAGACTTATTTACATTTGGCTATTCAATGCAGTTTAACGCTCAGTTACTTACGGCATAATGGGTTTGTCTGGTCAAGATTGGTTAATAATGTATATTATAGGAAAAAACATCGTTTGAGAAACTGACCTTGCTGTAAGTGAAGAAGCATAGAAATTGTTTTATTGATGGAATTTCAGTCCTTTAACAGCTTTGAGTTTGGAACACTCATTACTAAAATTCGGTGCGGAATTGAAAGCATGTTTCAAATACATGCAGGTCCAGAAAATACCATATTCTTTTTTTTTTCCACAGAATCTGACATCCTCTTGCCCTTTATAGTGATAATAATAGGTTGATCATGAGCACTTAGAAACTTTAAGTTATTGAATATCATTGTGTTTGCATATCTTTACTATGGGAACTGAATTAGTTTTTAAGGTCTCTCCAACTTTGACAGCACAATACAAAAGTTTTCACACACACACACTTTAACTTTTCATTGCCAATAGAAGCCTACAAAAGTTATGTATGTATGTATGTATGTATGTATGTATGTATGTATGTATGTATGTATGTATGTATGTATGTATGTATGTATGTATGTATGTATGTATGTATGTATGTATGTATGTATGTATGTATGTATGTATGTATGTATGTATGTATGTATGTATGTATGTATGTATGTATGTATGGGTGTGTGGGTGTGTTTGTGTGGAAGTATTTACAAAGGGTGCCTTTCTTCCAGACCTGTCTTCTTTATCTCATCATCGTATAAAATACTTGTAGCATATAACTGCGATTTCAGCATATTGCTCCTTCCGTCCCTCCCACCACACCTCTTTCTTCATCATGGCTTAATCTCAGGAGAGAACATTACACTCAATGTGTTGAACTGTCGGAGGACAGTATTCCATACCTGTATTTTTGTCCTGTATGCACTACGATATGTTTTCGTGAATAGAAGCAAACAAGTTTAATGTTAGAAATGTGCGCTTATATTTGAGAGAACAATTGTTTAGAAAAGTAACATTATACAATACAAAGTATTAAGGTCTAGTAGATACTCATTTTATTGTGAATTTGCTTGATACGTTGTATGGTAAAATAAGACGTATTACCTCCCTTTGACAGCAACTTTGTGTTGGATCGATTTGCCCAATTTCTCTGTTTCTCTGTAATCTTTGGTTTGAACCAGCTTTTGTCTTGATAGGCAAATAAGTGGACACTGTTTGCAGTGGAAAGTTACCACTATAACATTGTACAGCTTTTCTGTAACCCTTTATGAATGTTGGTTACAAGACGTTAGAGACTTATCTATAAGAAAAAAATAGTATGCATATCAGTAATTTTGCTTGCATTTGCCAAATAGCTTTTACAGTTATAAATTATATCAACATTGCTAAGTTTTCAAAATTGTTTTCATTTACAGCGTACTTATAGTCTTGGCCCTTAAGGGTTCATACTCATGTTGTCTGTCTCCAACATCAATGTAACCATTATTTTAGGAACTTTAAAAAGCTTTGTGCCATTTATATACATATATCAGTTAGATCGGAAAGATGGGAACGGGTATACGGGTATACACTGTATGTGTTTTATGAAACAGATCTAATTTGACAAAACTGGTCAGTTCAAATTGTATTAGCTATTTAAGTTTGTCCTATAACCAGAGACGAAATTATAAGGCGTTATGTAATCGGATAGCCTGTGATGTAATACTAGCTGATGTCTGCACGTGCATGTTGTTTTTGTGAAGCTTGTATGCTATATAAAAGATAACACGAAAACACACCTGGAGAAAACGATTTAATAACAATAATAAAATAATGATTATTTACAACCCTGAAAAGTAAAATCTACTTTGGGTGAAGTTTATACAAATACACTGCTATCACCTGGAATGCCGTTACACAAATATCTTTGTCTGATGATGGACAGTTCTTTATTACATTCATGCTCTAACGTCAGTAAGTAAACTACTTTTATTGTAAAACAAATCAGATCTAATTATAGGACTCATGGTGCTAATTACATGGTACAAGAGTGAAACAGCCATAAAATGGTTGAAGATAAACAAGAGTATACCATGTTATGATGTTCCCTTATTGGTTAATAATGCAAAGTCAACTGATCTTATCCTATCTGCAGCTGAATAAACAGTTTGGATGTAATTTTAATATTTTGCATTACCGTGACTCGAGAACAATCAATGATGAATGTAGCATATCATTCATTAAGTACTGAATGAATGTGTTTCATGTACATGTAGGAAAAAAAAAGCTTTACGTTACGTATATTTTTCATCATGCACAGGTTTGCATCAAGGATAGCTCTGTCCCGAAAATTATAGATTCGATTATGATTATTCCGACATTTAAAATTATGAATTGTTAATATTATGGTGCTTACATAGGTTGAATTAGCACAGCGAGTCCTGAAGAATCATATTCTGGTGTATTTTACGGGTCACACATTAAAGTGTCGTGTCCTTATGTTTTATTATACACCATGTTATAAATTAAAAAATAATATAAACTGTTCATGCAGATCTGTATACTTATATGCGCATTTATATATATATATATATATATATATAGATATATATATATATATATATATATATATATATATATATATATATATATATTTATATATATATATATATATATATATATATATATATATATAAACATTCGTACATGCGTTATATTTGTCTTACTATGAGCATAAAACGTGCCATCATCAAAGATGGTTCATTATAGCGAAAATCCAGTCTGGCATTCATT